TGAAAAAAAAAAAAATAATAATAATAATAATAATAAAATCCGAGTGTTTTTCCAGTTTTTTTTTTAGCGTGAGTATAAAAATGACCCTTTTTTTTTTTTTTAATTATTCCAACAGCTTCTTTTTTTTCTTTTTTTTTTTTTTTTTTTTTTTTTTAAACGATTAATTATAAATCAAAAAAAAAAAAAATAAGGGTTAAAAAAAAAAATAATAATAATAAATTGTAATAATGAAAAACCAAAACAAATATCAAGAAAAAAAAAAAAAAATTTATCAAATGGAGAAAAATAAAAAAAATAAAAAAAAATTAAATTGCCTTTGATGAATTATTGAAAATCTGTTGTAATATATATATTTTCGTTTGCACAATCATGTTTGTTTGTTTGTTTGTTGTTTGTTTTTCTTTTTATTTTTTCCCTTCGATAAAATTTCATGACATTTTTTTTCGTCGTCGTTGTTGCTGTTGTTGTTGTTGGAACGTTTAAACACATTTTTCCATTTGATCCTGTCATCAAATTTTATCGAAACCGATTTTAAAAGCATTTTAGCTATATAATAATCCTCCCATTTTCCTTTTCCCTTTTCATTTTTCATTTTTTCCATTTTTTCCATTTTTTTTAATTTTCCGATGTTTCCAAAAAACAACAAACGAACGAACAAACAAAACAAATAATGTTTATGATGATAAGGGCGATGGTTTTTTTTTTCGATGCTTCGACTTACATTATTATTAAATGTTTAAATTTTTTTATTTATAATCATTATTATTATTATTATTAAAATAAAATAAATAAATAAAAACAAAAACAAAACCACAGTTTTTATGAATTTTTTTTTTTAAATTAATAATAAAAGCACCGGTAAAAAAAAAGAGTAAAAAACATAAAAAAACTTTTTTAATTTTTATTTTCATTAATAATAAAAAAAAAAACAAAAATAAATTTCTTTTTTTGTTTTTCTTTTTTGTTTTTATTCGTTTTTATAAAAGAAAACAAAGTGAAAAAGTTTAAAAA